GCTGGCATTATCATATTGCTCTTTTTGATTGTATAGTTATTGGAAATGTTCTGCGTCGTTGTCAGAACGAAATGCCTTATTCACGCCCTCGCTGATTCACGTATGCTCTGCTGCTGCTTACTTTTTATATTCTGAACTGTTTCCCTGTGTATGGAGAGGAAACCATGCTCCCGCCATTTCGTTGTTACGCCACCAGATGTCTGACCCTAGTTTCCCGGTTCTGCCGCCAGGTGTCTGCGACGTTCGCGGCCAGCCTGGTGACGTCGCCGGCGCTGGGCGCCTACCTGGCCCAGGTCTACGACGAGAACATGGTGATTGCGCTGAGCACGGCCATCGCCGTGCTGGACGTGCTCTTCATCCTGGTGGCCGTGCCCGAGTCGCTGCCGGAGAAGCTGCGCCCCAACAGCTGGGACAAGACCATCACCTGGGAGCAGGCCGACCCCTTCGCCGTGAGTGGCCACCAAGCGGGCGGGGAGGAGGCGATGGGGGGCGCTAGGTGTGGGGCGGGAGATAGAGGGATGGGTTTGGGTACTGGGGAAGGCAGGGGTACCGTACACGAATGGAAGGCGGCGAAGCAGGTAACTTGAATTAGGTACGGTGCGTGGAAAGCGGGTGATTGGTTACCAAGCTAGCCGAACTGTTGTTTTCATCTAGTATGATTGGAACCCGCAACGGGAAGCTTTCTAGGAGATAGTAAGAAAAGGCGGAACTCCTATTCATCAGTTTATTCGGATGGTATATTGGATCCTGGCTTCGCCTTCATTTCCGTGCGGCTCTCACCCGAGCCAGTGAAAGCCGCCGTTTGCGTGGGCTGCGCCGGCTGACAGAGCAGGCGATGGGGGGACTCCTCTGACCGGTGGCTCCCGGTCACGTGTCGGTGTGTGTGTGCCGTCACGTGTCCCCACACGGCCACCTGCGGCCTAACGAGGCGCCTCCCTGCCGTCCGTCTCCCTGGACACTGACCAGGCGCGAGCGGACGGCCGCCGGCGACTCCTGACGCGCTCTGTGCTCAGCTGGGTGGCACCGGCTGAGCTAGGGATATGGAAATGCAACGCCGGCGTCCCTCCCAGTTCTTACCCACCGGTCTTCCTAAGCTTTCTGCTTGAGTCTTTTCTCTGTCTTACTGGTCATTTTCCTTATCCTGCCCTGCCTCCCTAAATTGTTCCCACGCCCTTAACGAAGCTCTCTACCTCTCACGTACATACTTCCTGACCTCCCCGGTCTTCCTGCTCCCTGTCTTCCCTACCCTCTCGGCGCCTCTACCGTCCGTGTTTCCGCCTCTCCTCCATCTCCCCACCCCGTGTCTGGGCGCCATATCTCGTGCCTCCGCGTGGCGTCGGTCGCTGCGGCGCTAGTCTGCTCGGCAGCGGCTGAGTTGATTACCGGACGGCACGCTACCACCAGCGCTCTGCACGCTCAGTATATCCCGGAGAGCGGCGGATGCCGGCGGACGGCCGGGGTGGTGGGAGGGACGGGGTGGCTGGGGCCGGTCACAGCTGGTTGGTGGGAGGTGGGGACGGCTAGTCACTAGCCGTCCCCACCTTTCACCAACCAAGTAGCCAGAAGTAGCCTAGAGTCGAAATAGCGGTAAGATTGTGTTTTATCACACTTCAGCACCACGAACTTAGAGATAGGTGTGAGCAAGATTACTTTACTACTAGGTTTGAGCTCGTTTGGACTTCAGAAACATTCAATTACGATCAGAAATAAATAGGGAACGTCTGATTGATCAGCCGGCTCAGCTGTATCACACTCCTCTGATCAGGCCTCCGGTACAGAGAGCAGCGCAGATTCAGTGAACTACTGGCTACATCGATCAGAAGTTTGTGTTCCATTCAGTCGGCGATTACATAACCGCTGTTAGCTATAGTCCGCTCTGACGTGTCTTCTCAGAGGCACAGGCGTCTTGTCGACTGCTGTTGGACAGGGAGAAGAATTGAACCGGTCTTCTGGCAAACGTCTTGTTTTCAGGCAAATGTAACCCTTTGTTGAAGCTTGCTTATGTAACTCTTGTTATCTGTCTCAAGCATGCGAAAGACATCAAGAAATGAGGGCTTCAATAATAATTCCTGATAAGGGATGTGAATGTTTGGCGTACGTATTTGCATATTGCAAACGAAGCTTTGAACGCAAATCGTGGATTATTCTTCACCATTCTTTTTAAATCCTTTATAAAATGATGGCGATATTGTCGCGGAGGCGCGGAAGGAGAGACGACTGAGCGGGCCGAGACTTGTATTGCAACTGTGGTTCTGATTCTAATTCGCCAGTGCCTGTGCGTTATATGCAGGGTGGTTGCACAATGAAGGACCGGTCCGCCGACCCGCCGGGTCGGTGGACGGTGCCGACACGTGGGGAAAGTGACGGCTATTTCCATGTAACAAAGCTTGCACGTGTACTCTCTTTATCATGATATGGAAGAAGGGAATCGGTCCCACATTATCTTCCCTCCCCCAGGGAAGCGTAGGGAACCGAAGCGATCATAACAAAGAGAGGAAACGTTTAGCTGACGGAGAAAGAAATTTCCATATGAGCGTATCACAAAATGGTATGAACAGATAAGTAAGTTTCGTGACAATTACACCTACTACCGGGCGATCCCTCCGCACTCTTGGCGGGGACCGTCCCTGGGCATCTCCATGGCCCTCGGCATCTCTGGCCGAATATCAATACAATATAATTTCAGTGAATTGACCACGATTAACGTATTTGAATGTTCATACCGTTGAGAGCAGACTCTTTTTACGTTTACTAGTGTCAAAATGACACGGCAAAGTGCAGGCAAAAATTAAATGCACTTGCAATTTCTCCGTAAATTTTGGGGTGAGCAACCACAATGAAGCACAACAAACGACAGAACACTGACGAAAACGGATAATGAAACAGTACGGTTTTTGAAACACATCGAAGTTAAAACAAATTTCACAGCACAATTTCACTGTCACTTTTTGACGAAAATACAGCAAAAGTTCATAATGGGTGAATTTTCTTGATTTTGGGTGTCAATTTGTCTTGAATTTAGCGTTGATATTTTTTTTTTCTCTTCTCTTCTCTCCTCCGATCTTGAGTCCTTCAGCGAGGTGGTGTCCATCACTCGATGATGCTGAGGAGGACGGCGCGGGCTGATGAGCCGTGCGCTGTCGGCGGGCTCCGTAGTAGTCCAGGGCAGCTGATGACGTTGCCGCAGGGCAGATGGTATTGCCGGGCAGAGCTACTCACTGGAGACGGTGATGTCGGACGATGACGAGTCCAGGATGGTCAGCTCCCTAGTCGATGACGTGACGTAGGGGCGATACACCGTCACAGAGCACGGACTAACCAGACTGCGATGTCAGTGCAGATGTAGAGGCTGGGGTCCGTGTTGAGGGGCACAAGTCCCCTCGACCGCCGCTGCCACCATTGTCGCAGGACTGTACATCAACTGATGCTGAATGATGAAGTCGATACCAAGAATGATGTCACATCCAAATGAAAGAGATTTCTCTGTGACGTAGAATTTATGTTTGATAGTACGGTCAAGAATCTGGATATCTATGTCAATTTCACCAACAATGCGAATCGCAGAACCGGTTACACCGAGAACTGACACAGATGGAGTTTTGAGAGAACCTGTAATATCGCATGATAATAGAAAATCACGAGTGACGAGGCAAACACTGGAACCTGTGTCGTATAAAGCAGTACCCTTTCGCTTAGAGATGGAGACATCCTGAAGAATGGGTGGAGGAGAACGATGTTCAGCACTAGCAGTGTTGGATGCAATGCTCGCAAACGCAGGACCATCGTCTAGCGTTGCGAGCGGTGAGCGTTTGGGGAACGCGAATGGCGGAACCGGTCCGAACGGGACCTGTCAGGTGAGCGCGATGGCGACCTTGAGTACGAACGTCCGCGCCGATCTCGGGAGGACGGACGTGACGAGCTGCGATGGTAGTGGCGGTCAAGAGATGAGTCGCGATAGTGGCGGTAGGGCGAGCGTGCACGGTAATCGCAACAGGAATGGCGATACTGATCGGGCGAATATGCACGGCGGGGCTGGGAGGAAGATGACTGGTATCGGCGGTATGATGATTGGTGGTAATTGGTGGTGGGTGGTGTGGAGAAACCACGGCCACGGCCACGCTGTGGATAACCACCTCTGGGTCGGCGTTGTGAAGAGCGACCACGGCCACGGGTGGCCTGCTGACACGTGGCAAGCTCGAGGCTGGCCACACGGCGCTGGAGATCGTCCATTGCGCCACTAGACTGTGCCTGGGTTGAAGATGCGGCGAGGGTGGAAGTAGCATCGGGCAGCAAAGAGCTGTTAAGTTCATGTGTCCGAGCTAGAGTCACCGCGGAATCGAAATCGGCAGGGTTCTGTGGAAGCACGTACTGACGGATGGAAGGCTTTAACCCTTTCACAAAGGTGGCGGCCACGGTACGGTTTTTGAGTTGTTGGGTATCTGGGGTAGCGTCCCACTCTGTCAATGACTTTGCTTTAGTTCTGAGGCGGCAGGCGAATGCGTCTACAGATTCGGAGGGATGTTGTATACACGTCATAAGATCTTGCAGACGGGAGGAGATAGGTCGATCCGTATGAAGGGCGTTCGTTAAAAGAGTTTCAAAGTCATTCAACGTTTCTGCATTGGACAGAGCCACACGAGTGCGGACAATGTCAGCGACATGACCTTGCATTTTAGATTTGGCAACTTTGATAGAGACCACGTCAGGCCAATTTCCTAGGGATGCGGCTTCTCTGACGTCCCGGAAAAAATCTTGAATGGGGAACGAACCGTCGAAGTTGGGGATAAAAGTACCGAATTGATGAATGTTGAGGGTGTTAGGGAGAGGCTGAATATGGTCGTCTGGCATGGTTAGTATCTAAAATGCACCGGGAAAAAAAATTGGGACCAGAAAAATACACCCTATATAATCCTAAACGGGCATGTAAGTCACACATAGGGGACACGCAGGGGGACACACAGTAGGGCACATAATCCTACCGCTGCCACCATTATGTCGGCCGGTGGAATTGCCGACTTACTTGGTTCGGTGTGCCGATGCGTCCCCAAAGCCGGTCTCGAGCACTCTGTGTATTTGATAATTCACGCACGCTTTTATACAGGATCTTTCACGCACAGCGCGATCATATAAGGAGCGTCATGCGGCAAGCGCATAAGCTTATTCGAGGAACGACGCGGAAACCTCTGCAGAACCGGTCAGTCGTTGAATTAATAACCCGGATCTGCAGCGGGCCGCACGCACCTGAACAAGGCCATACGCGCTTGCAGCAATAGTCCTTTGAGCAAAGCCTTGCGACATTACCTCCCCTCCCCCATGAGCCGACAATAGGAGGCGTCAGAACAACACACGACCGAGTGAAGAAGTAGACGTCCCGAGCTGGTGGGTGACTTGCTCGCAGCGCGGAGATGTGTAGATCCTCCGGATCTTGATGTCCGAGGTCCCGGCCCATGACAGAGCCGCGCCGATGAGGTCACCGTCAGTGGACAGTGACAGAAGGCGCGGCCGGCTGGAGCGGGCGGTACTGTCGACTGCTGGCGGCCAGTGATTGTGGTGGCAACTGGCTGGAGTCGACAGCGACGGCCGTTGGTGGAGGGGACCTCTGGATGGTGCGCGAGCAGAAGTCGACGGGGACGTCTCGAGTCGATGCACTGGTACCGGACCATGGTTGTGTGGCGATTGTACTTGTAGGGCGATTTTGACCGCACTCGGGTAATGTGGTCCCGTGAATGCGACGCCGGATAATCGCCATGGAGTCAGGTACCAGTGGCGGTGTGGTTGACTCGGCGGGTACTCGACGTCCCGGCTGCCGGCCGGGCCCTTGGCCAGGCAGCGGAGACGTGAAGATCGGTCAGCCGTGTGTATTTGACAGTCCATTGTGGCCCATGAGGAGTGAGTCGGCATGCAGCAACAGGCGATGCGAGTATGATCGGCTGTCTGCAACATACAAAATCTTTCGTCAATGGCACATACGTACACGAGACAAACGAACAGACATATACAATTCTTAAAAACTATACATGATTTTTTTATGGCGATCTGGCTGAAGTGGATGCAAGTAGGTATGCATATGAAACATGTGGGGCAACACATCAAGATAGTTGCCGCCAGACCGCCATGACATTAGCCGTAAGTACATGGTGATACAACCGAAAATGAAGGTCTTGACGAGCAGCCGAAGAAATGATATAGCCAAGATGTATGTATAGGGGCTATCGACGGCATAGATTGATTACCATCGAAAAGATGAAGATAGCGGCGATAATAGCGAAGAACCAGTAGAGACCCTGCTGTAGTGTAGTTCCCAATGAAGAAGTGGTCGAAAGAAAAGAATCAAAGAGACCACTAGAGTGAATAACGGCTGTGGACTGGGCGACCGTCTCATTGCGCTGGGTGAGGGAAAGAGTCGGGGTATCTAAACAGAAAGAGACGGGTTCACAGCTTTTAATTTCGTTATAGTAAAGACACAGTCTTTCCTCGTGACAGGGGACCGACGTAACGAACTGAATTGTCACGAGGGAGCTGTCAGTGGATAAGGCCACTGCACGGGATGAAAGTGGGATATTATTGAAGGATACGGATACCGTACCTGGAGAGCAGATGGATTTGGCTCGTATGATAATTTTGGCAGCCACTGGACATGAATGACACCCAGTGACTGAATCAATCGATTCAATACGAGGACAAATTTTGTAATGGGATATGGCAAGGGACATGTCATTGAAGCGTATGTGAATATTTACTGGGGCACTCCGAAGTAGTTTAGATTGCAAAACACCGTCCGAATTAATGTAAAGATGGTGGTTATGAACGGCGCGAGGAAGGATATTAGGACGCTGATTCTGGATAACCGAAATGTAACTTTGAGGGATATGGCATCGAAGGGTTGTTTCGTAGTTAGTGCAATCAACCATGAGGGGGCTAAAAATAAAATCGGTAGACAGCGGTTTGGGGGCCTGAATGTCACCCAATTGACCTGGGGTAGGCTGAGATGGAGAAGAAGCGGATTCCAGATGTGAGTCAGAAAAGTCATGGACGTTTTGGACGAGGTATGGGGATGGCAGGGATAGGGGCTGGTCATAGGTACCTAAGACATTCAGTTCAATGCCAGAATTTGTAATAACTTGATCGGATGTCGTGGTATTGACTAAACGATTGTCGATAGCTTCCGAAATTGTAATGATTGGTTGACAAGTATGCCCTGTAATCTTGTCAACACGATAGGTGGCATTGTACTGTGGGAGTAGGTACCAGCGGAAATGAAGGCAGGGATCATAATGAATGACGCCACAAAATCTAGTTTTTGCTGGAATAGAAATGCATGACGTGATGCCGGGCCATGAAAGTGATTCTTTGGTGATTTCCGGAAAGTATTCTCGCCGAGGAACACATTTGGCTCCCCAGCTGCAATACTCAAAGTTAGGGCATATCAACTTGGAAGAAATTTCAACGGAAACCGGAAAAGTATAATATTGGTGAATTGTGGTCCATTGGCAATAGACGTCTTCAAATTTAATCCGAATGTAATAAACATTGGCGCCACTGTCGTCCGAAAAGAACATGCAAGTCGTAGAACCTATGTTACTCAGACTAAGCTGTGCCTGTCCTGAGATAACACAGGATTGCTTACCTGTGGGCAGTGTTTGACACTGCGATATACGAGAAGATATTATTTTGAGTTCATTGCAGTCATCGTGAATAGAAGAAGCCAGAATGAGCGGTAAAAAACAAATAAGAATAACCACACTATACTTAAGCTGCATAGATTTAGGAGCGGGTGGTGTCTGTACCTGATTGGGAGAATCGGCAAATTTTGAGATTTTAGAGAAGGCTGTAGAAATCTGGCGGCGGGATGTATGGCCAGCTACAGCGCCCGTTCGCAGAGAAAGGCGGAAGCAAGAACGGACAAGACGGTAAATGCCAAAGATAATGTAGCAAATAGTACGAAGTATACTGAAAATAGCGTTACAGGCAGATCGAACGTAGATGATAACTAGACCAGAAACAATGATGATAAATCCATAAACTAAGTACTGAATGGTGTGGGGTAGGCATGAAAGATTCAACAACATTTCTTAGCGGGCCGAGACTTGTATTCCAACTGTGGTTCAGATTCTGATTGGGGTTCGCCAGTGCCTGTGCGTTATATGCAAGGTGGTTGCACAATGAAGGACCGGTCCGCCGACCTTCTGGTATATCTAGGTCGTCGGGCGGTGCCGTCACGAAGGGGAAAGTGACGGGTATTTCATTGTAACAAAGCTTGAACGTGTACTCTCTTTATCATGATATGGAAGAAGGGAATCGGTCCCACATTATCTTCCCTCCCCCAGGGAAGCGTAGGGAACCGAAGCGATCATAACAAAGAGAGGAAACGTTTAGCTGACGGAGAAAGAAATTTCCATATGAGCGTATCACAAAATGGTATGAACAGATAAGTAAGTTTCGTGACAATTACACCTACTACCGGGCGATCCCTCCGCACTCTTGGCGGGGACCGTCCCTGGGCATCTATGGCCCTCGGCATCTCTGGCCGAATATCAACACAATATAAATTCAGTGAATTGACGACGATTAACGTATTTGAATGTTCATACCGTTGAGAGCAGACTCTTTTTACGTTTACTAGTGTCAAAATGACACGGCAAAGTGCAGGCAAAAATTAAATGCACTTGCAATTTCTCCGTAAATTTTGGGGTGAGCAACCACATTGAAGCACAACAAACGACAGAACACTGACGAAAACGGATAATGAAACAGTACGGTTTTTGAAACACATCGAAGTTAAAACAAATTTCACAGCACAATTTCACTGTCACTTTTTGACGAAAATACAGCAAAAGTTCATAATGGGTGGATTTTCTTGATTTTGGGTGTCAATTTGTCTTGAATTTAGCGCTGATATTTTTTTTCTCTTCTCTTCTCTCCTCCGATCTTGAGTCCTTCAGCGAGGTGGTGTCCATCACTCGATGATGCTGAGGAGGACGGCGCGGGCTGATGAGCCGTGCGCTGTCGGCGGGCTCCGTAGTAGTCCAGGGCAGCTGATGACGTTGCCGCAGGGCAGATGGTATTGCCGGGCAGAGCTACTCACTGGAGACGGTGATGTCGGACGATGACGAGTCCAGGATGGTCAGCTCCCTAGTCGATGACGTGACGTAGGGGCGATACACTGTCACGGAGCACGGACTAACCAGTCTGCGATGTCAGTGCAGATGTAGAGGCTGGGGTCCGTGGTGAGGGGCACAAGTCCCCTCGACCGCCGCTGCCACCATTGTCGCGGAGGCGCGGAAGGAGAGACGACTGAGCGGGCCGAGACTTGTATTGCAACTGTGGTTCTGATTCTAATTCGCCAGTGCCTGTGCGTTATATGCAGGGTGGTTGCACAATGAAGGACCGGTCCGCCGACCCGCCGGGTCGGTGGACGGTGCCGACACGTGGGGAAAGTGACGGCTATTTCCATGTAACAAAGCTTGCACGTGTACTCTCTTTATCATGATATGGAAGAAGGGAATCGGTCCCACAATATGCATTATTTAAACTTTGTTTTAAAACTTTCAAGAGCAGCTGCTGTCTGAAGTTTATATCGAACTATATACGTTAAGTATAATTCTTGTGAAAATATGAAATATGGTCTGGGTTTTATTGTATGCTGTTGGCCGAGTGGGTGGCGTGGTGATAATTACTCAATGTAGTGGCTCGCCGCTCGGGTGATGAATTACTCCAATTTTCCCATGCCGCTCAAAATGCCGACAGAACTCCGAGTGACTACCGTCTACGGCTGCTTGTTGGGCCACGTTGCTATCAATTCTACCAGGGAAAATGATGGATGGTCCGTTTAAAGTCCTCACGTATTATCGTTTTAAATCGCCCATTATATGCCGAAGTGTTTGTCATGCACTTAGTTTTGTGTGGCGCTAGGGTTATCAAAACATCGGGACGGCATCGCTATGCGCTCCCCGACACCCACACCCGGCGTACTATGTTCCAACACCATTGAAACGCTCGTCCAATTGCGCCATTTCGCCGATCGATTACCGGGCTGACTCGGACGGAGCGTAATTCGAGGGTAACTGCCGGTAATGGCGCCGTTACTTGCGTCATACGTACGTCACGTCAGTGGGATGACGTCACGGTGTCGTCTTGTGACGGGACCTAACGAGGGCCTGAACTCGCTGCCATTGCTGGCATTGGGTGGCGTCTTACACAAGGTAGTGGGGCCGGCCATTGAACCGGGGCGGAGCGCTCTCAGCCGCAGCCAGCGCGTTCGGCCGTGTGGCTGATGGGAGTGCCACCGCCGTGATCGGGCCGAGAGTAACGAGGATCGAGCTACGAGCCAACCATGATCGAGCCGAGGGTAACCGTGATGGAGCTACGAACTACCATGATCGAGCTAAGGGCCATCGAGCTGCGAGCCAACCGTGATCGAGCCAAGGGCGATCGAGCCGCGAGTCAGCTATGATCCAGCCGCGAGCCAGCTATAGCGGAGTCGGTGGCCATCCATGCCGGAGCGGCGGCCGCGCGCCGACCGCCCCCCGGGGGACCGGCGCCGTGCCTTACCCGTCTGCGCCGATCGGCCGCTGTCGTGTCCACCGCCCGCCGCCGGTATGCCTGATTAAGTCGCATCGATCCGAGGAGAGAGCGGTTCGAGGCTCGCACCGGGAGGAGGCTGAGGAGAGAGCGGTACGAGGCTCGCACCGGGAGGAGGCTGAGGAGAGAGCGGTACGAGGCTCGCACCGGGAGGAGGCCGTGGCCCTGCTGACGGCGCTGGCGTTCCTCCGGCTGTGTTCGGAGCTCGAGGAGCTGGCTCGCTGGATCGATGGCCGCGTGCTGACGTGACCTTGATGATGTCATTAGTGTTTATTGTTGTCACATGGTCTTACAGAAGCCGCACTGAAAGCTTTTACGTAATGTGTTCGTTAGTTGCGTGGTAACTCACTATGTTGGTCGATAGGATAGCCCTATTGACGAGCTTTTACCCAGAACGTGCAGCTCTGTTAGGAAATGAAATCGGTCAAGTGGTATCACACATAGACCACTATTGTGTGCTCTGTTTTCCCTGCCTTACTTATGTGTGCCAATGGTCCGTGTGTTCACGGTGCGTTCCCTTCGTCTACAGGCTCTGAAGAAGATCGGCAAGGACCGGACGGTGCTGCTTCTGTGTCTGGCCGTGTTCCTCTCCTATCTGCCTGAGGCCGGACAGTACTCGTGCTTCTTCGTCTACCTGAGACTGGTGAGAGCGGCGAGGGAGACAGACAGAGGGAGGGAGGGGAGAGAGAGAGGGGGGCAGACAGATCGGCCGGCGGTCCCCGATGGAATTACATGCCGTAATCTGTAGAGCGGGAGAGTGGGGAGAGTGGAGGAGGGCGGTGTGTGTGTGTGCGTGTCGGGGCAGAATTGCGGCCTCGTTTCCGATCGGTCCGTACCCCCTGGGACTGCCGCCGCGGTAGGCACCATCGCTCGCCGAGTCTGGTGCAGTGCGGCGCACCGGCGGCAGCGCTGGGGCGTACGCAGCACGGGGCGCCCCGTGACCTTTACCACCCACATGGAGAGTTTCTGTAGCTGTCATAACGCTCTGCTCACCCGGCCGATCAGCGGAGCGCCTCCGCCGCCACTGATGTGACGTCACTGTCCGGGGAGTGATGTCACTCCCGTCGGGACGGGATGACGTCAGGGGGTCGGTGTGCGCCCCCGGAGCCGCCCGGCGATTGATCCGGGCCGGCTGGGAAGAGCGCGGCGGAAGGTCGCGACCCGGAGCCGGGCAGAGTGCCGGAGCGAACCGGATGTGAGCTCCCGCGGGCACGTGGGAGTGGGGCGGGAGGAGGAGAGGGAGTGAGAGTGACGAAAGGTGAGAGGTGTGTGGGAGAGGCCGGAGTGGCGGACAGTGAGTGTATACGCGAGTCTCGCTGTGTACTGAGGAGGGGTGCTGGAGATGGCGCCCGCTCTCCTTGCTGTCACTCTGGTTAGAAGTGGGATGACTCTCCAGCGATGAGCGATGTAACCCTTTAGGTGATTGCAATGTCCTGGGAGACGTCGAATGGTGTGCTTGTACTCTTTTGCCGTTTTCGGCTGGTGTGCGTCGATGAAGTTCAGCCAGGAGGCAGTGTCCCGTGCTGACGTTCTCTTCTGGCCTATGTCCCCAGGTGATGAAGTTCAGCCAGGAGGCGGTGTCTCTGTTCTGACCTGTTCTGTTCTGTTCTGCTCACAGGTGATGAAGTTCAGCCAGGAGGCTGTGGCCATGTTTATCGCCACCGTGGGCATCCTGTCTGTGATCGCGCAGACGGCCGTGCTCAGCTTCCTGATGCGCACCATCGGCGCCAAGCACACCATCATGGTCGGACTCGTGTTCGAGATGCTCGAGCTCATGTGGTGAGTGCAGCGCGCTTGTAAGGACTGTCTACTGACCGAAAATATCTGCCACCCACACCCACAGCACTGTCATATTATCTTCAGTGCGTTTATAGCAGAGCTAACCAACCGCTCTGCAAAGATTCCCTCACCCCCACCCACCCACCCGCGTCCCACATCGTACTGGACTGTGATGTCAGTCCATATCCCTCCCACGGTCCGGCCTTTCCATTGTGCCGGTGGGCTGGTCTCTGTTCGCGTCTGCCACTGACGCGGACTGCCACCGGCAGCTCAGTCGCTCACCACCCGGACGCTGGCTCCCGCCCGCCCCCGCTCCGCCTCCCAGCCCTGGCACCCGCCTGCGTCGACGCCGGCCTGCGTAGGTCCGACGCTTATGAAACTTCCGGCGGTCGTTCCGCGGGCCGACGCGACCCGTGGAGACTCCGGCCGCCTCCGCTATGGCCTTATTGTCGCGCACAGGGTCAGAGCTGCGTGCCGCGCGCTGACAGCCCCCGGCAGCCGACGCCGTGCGGAAATGATGAACTTTGCACCGCCGCGCTCAGTGTCACGTGTTCAGACGAGTGTGTTTCTCGGAGGTCACGTGATGTTTGAGCTAGGTTTCTCGGGTGCGGGCTGGGCTGGTGTTCAGAGCTGGGCGCAGGCTGAGCTGGGATCACGTGGGAGCTGGGTGACCCCCGGTGACTGCCGCCTGGGCTGTGTCTGGGAGCTGGGACCGGGCTGGGTCGGCTCACGTGGTCGGCCCGTGCTCTATTATAGTGCTGGCTGGGCTCACAGCCAGGACAGCCCAGCTCTGCCCAGCGACAGGATCCCAGGGAGGCTCACAGCGAGGGGCTGTGTTATGCCTAATAGAGCGAATCCATCTGACTCAGCAGTGCAGTGCGGTGGGTTGCGGTCGGCTGGGACCGCGGGTTTTCCCACCGATGGGCGGTAGAAGGTAGTCTGAATATGTATTCTGAAATAGTAGTCTGAATATGTTCTGTATGTACTCGATGTGTATAAACACTGAGAGTAGTTGCCCTGTCCTATGTGTTATCCCGTGCTGACGGTCCTGCCCCTTTCCTCCCGTTCAGGTACGGGGTTGGCTCCCAGACGTGGCTGATGTGGGTCCTGTGTGTTATCCCGTGCTGATAGCTCCCTCACCCCCGTTCAGGTACGGTTTCGGCTCCCAGACGCGGCTGATGTGCCGTGGGTACTCTGTGTTATCCCGTGCTGATAGCTCCTTCTCCCCCCGTTCAGGTACGGTTTCGGCTCCCAGACGCTGTACCCCGGTGAACTGACGGCTCTGCCCCTGTGTCCCCCGTTCAGGTACGGTTTCGGCTCCCAGACGTGGATGATGTGGGCGGCCGGCTCTCTCGCGGCCATGGCCAGCATCTCGTACCCGGCCATCTCGGCCTTTGTCTCTATGCACGCCGACGCCGACAAACAAGGTGAGTCCACCGACAAACAGCGGAGTTTGTCAGGAGTGACGGGCTAGGCCACCAGCAACTAAAGCAGTACGTGACAGAAGCTATGTTCGTTTGAATGCTGTGCAGGCGGACTGCGTTTCGAGTTGTTTGAATGTTCAAAATGACGCAGGTGCAAACGTATTTTTGGAAGCATTAAAAGCTTGTTTTGTTTTAGTACGCCGGTTAAGTTTTGGTTATCTTTCTAGGCGCCGTTGGTATGCCTAAGTACTTACTTGAATACAGTGGAATCCGCTTAATAAATCCACGGATAATGAATCCAGCCGCTTATTGTGGCCGCTTGAGCTGTTCACGGATTTCCTCCATAGTTACCCGCAGTTAAAATCCGCTTAATAAATCCACTTACTCCGCTTAATAAAGCCACTCGGGAGTTTCGAAGTCCGCAGTGGCATCTCCCCATTCAAAATGTGGCATCCGACCCGCTCAAAAAGAACCGCACTGGAGCAGCGGTCTGCAGCAGTTGGACTTCCCATGACAGAAGGGAGTTCAGGGGTATCAAGAGCGC